TACATAAAAATGAGTAATTAAGACTGGAATTCTTATTTGCATTTTCAGGAATGTTAATCGTTCCAACCATAGTACTAGCTCCATATTTATACCTGAATGGTCCAATGCATGGATAAGACAGTGTTGACAAAAAAGACACCAACTGTTAAATACCCCAGAGTAATTTAGAAAAAGGATGAGTCTGCATGAAAGGAATCAATATTACTGAAATACAATGGATAAAATATTGGAGAACCATTTTAAACAATAGATTTCTGGGGCAAGGCTAAAAGAGAGGAATTGTCATAAGCAGAGGACTAGGAATAGCTTCATAGCCATGTTATAGAAAACGAAACTTTTCTATAAGGCTGAATCAGGATTAATTCTTGCTGAATCAGGGTTAATTCATTCACAGTATACATGTATCTACACACGTTAACAACCAGTTCTCCCTAATGACTGGCTGGGTAGGCGTGGCTGGGGTGTGTTATGTGACTGAATGGGCGTGGCCAACTTAACGTCACTCACGGCAAGGTGGGGTGGTGCAGGCAGTCTGAAGTGACGGTGGCGATGGCTGGAGCCTTAGTGCGGCAGCGAAATGCCTCTGCACTTGCCTTTGTACAGCAACAGCATTTTGCCTTTGTTGTGATACATTTGCACTGAAGGCAGCCCTTGCCTCCTGCCGTTTTGGGCTTGCGTCTGGGAAGCACTGTGGCGAATTGCCGAGTCTGATTCTCTGGCACCTCATCTCTTGCTGGGTCTCGCTGCCCAACAGTCAGGTTTTTAAAAAGATTTTTAAAAATGGTTTACCTGCTGACCTGGCCCGCAACTGCTGCTGTTGCCAGGGGTGAATGGGGCAGGTTTGCATTGTGGCTCTGCATCGTAATGAGCTCCAGGAGGGGAACCTGTCTCCCCATTGTGAAGCATACTAAATTTCACTGTGCTATACAAGGTGCTTCAAGAGCAGCAGGCAGGCCACGTCGGCCATGAGGCACCAACAGCAGTGGTGATGGAGTGGGTTGGGTCAGCAAGCAGGCCATGAGGCAGTGGCGGTGAATGTGGCAGGCCAGTGTCTCGGGGCAGAAAGCAGGTCGCACATCTCCCTGAGTGACTGAGCATGCCCAGCTGCAGCAAAAAAGAGCGGAAGTAGCTGCCTGCCATTTCCTGCTGCAAAAAATCTTTTTAAAAACCCTGACTGTCGGGCAACGAGAGTCAGCAAGAGATGAGGTGCTGGAGAATCAGACACGGCCACTTCTCTTTGCCGCAGTGTTTCCCCGGATGTGGCTTACAGCTCCAAGCCCAAAGTAGCAGGAGCTGAGGGCTGCCTTGAGCGCAAATATATCACGATGAGGGCGAAATGCTGTTGCTGCTCAAAGGCAAGTACAGGAGCGCTTCGCTCCCGTACTAAGGCTCCGACCATCGCCACCGCTGCTTCAACCACCTGCACCACCCCACCTTGCCGCAGCAGTGCCATTACCTCACTCCGGCCGGCGAGGGCTGCACTACTCCTTGCACCACTTCTTGTACTACCCTCTATGGTGGAGATTTCCAGCCTCACTCAGAATGAGTCTTCCCCCCCCCCCCCGCCGTCAGCCTTACCTTCTCAGGCTAGGCGAAGTGTGACTGGGAGGGGAGGGCCCAGCCAGTGGTGGGATCAGCCGGTTGCCAAACCCCGCAAAAAGTTAACAACCCGTTTGGTTAAACCAGTGCGAACTGGCTGAATCCTACCATTGACAATGACTATATTTTACATACTAATATTAGAAACTACCCAAGTCAAAATGAAGTGCAAATCATATTAATTCTAAAATGAGAAAACATATCTAGCTGAAAAATTCAAAACTTCATGAACAGAAAAAACGGGATACAACTATTACTAGGTAAAATTCTCTGGAAGGGAGAAAGAAGAAAAAACTACTGCCTTTTTTAAGGAATACTGCCTTTTACTGTATATCAATGATAGAAAGTTCAAGNCTAGCAGATTTCCTACCCAAGGGTCGATTCCCGCCTAAAGTTGCTGTAAATTTTTAGTAAAAATAATCGAAAAAGATAACTTCTATTGTGTATATCCTTTAAAATCTCCCAGGGTCTCTTAACACAAATCGCTTCTAATTTGTAGCTTCAGAGTAGTGTCGGTGGAGATCTCCCCCACTGGCGCAAACATGCGATTAACCAAAAGCGAGGCGTTGGGGAGGCGGCTATACTTCTGTTCAGGAACGTTGCCCGATGGAATTACGGAAAAATACCAAGCTGAAGCGTCACATTCCGATTCTCTAAACAAACGTCAAAAAATAGCTGCTTTCATCAAGCTCCGCCTCCAACCCAGTAAAAATCTGGGAGACGGAGAGAAGCGTTTTGTACTCTTCTGCTTTCTGCTGTTCTTCTTCTCCTTTTCCGTGGGGCAACGGCCACCTGAGCCATGAAGGACGAAAGCTGGCAACTATCGACGGTCGCCTGGGGAGCCGCGCTTTTCTTTTTGTTTTATTTAGGTTTCTTGCGGCGTGTTACTGGTGCGGCTGGCACGGTTTTTCACCGCCGGCGGTCGGGCCGCTTCGAAAAATCTTGGAGTCCTCCCAGGGACGCGGTGAGTAAGGTCGTAAAGACAATTGCACGTTTTAGGACGATATTCGCATCATCCATGCTATTTCTGGTAGCATGGATTATCTGCATGTGAGGGGCATGGAGAGCGCTGAGCCGTATAGTGACTGAGGGTTGGACACGACTGAATGGCTGACGACGACGACAACGGAGTCTACTTACACAAGCTGGTACTTTTCGCTGTAGACATTATAGGAGAGTTGGGGTGGGAGAAAATCAGAAGAGTGTAGTTAACTTCCAATTAACCCATTTTATGAAAACACTTAAGTTTTCCTGAGTATCTGATGGATCTCAGGAAAGCTTGTGCATTTTTACAAATTTTGTCTTCAGGAGAAAAAGAGCAGATATAAATGGGCATTTTTTCTGTAGGTCATTTTGAACATGAGCAATAAAACATGTGAGGAGGGCCCCTTTGCTGTCCCAGGAATTCTGGAAGCCAAAATCACAATGGCACATTACTTATTTCAGCCATGTTATTATGCAAGAAAACTCATTGGAAAAGGCAGTTATATTTGGAAGGGTCAGCCCTCCAAAAACATGATGGGTATGTACCATCAAAGCTGTCATAGCGTAACACAACTGAAAGAAGCTGTACAAAATTGGAAAATGTGGAGAGAGCTGGTCCATAGAATTGCCTACAGTTGGACATGATTGACTGGATAGTATCACTAATAAAGCTTGTGGTATACTTCATGGATGATAATGGAGTGTTTGAGTCCTTTTCTATAAGAAATAGCAAAGATAAAAAGTAGATTAATTTAATTTAATTTAATTAACCACATTTATATGCCGCTCAATCCCGAAGGACTCCGGGCGGCTTACAAAAATAAAGAGAGAAAAAAAAAGACACATAACGAACACATAACAAAAGAAAACGGTTTAAAATANAGAATGCTATGGCTAAATTTGTAGATAACTGCATTTAAAATAAATGGATTGCACTTCATTTTGCATAATGTTCCTCAATCCAAATTTTACTATATTCCTTCTTATAAGCAATTAAAAAAAAAAAATCAGAGGAAGTATGGGCAGCACCTTTTCCAACTAATAAATGTTAAAAAGCTTAGCTCACTTCAGCATATATTCACTTCATCATAGACTCACACACTTCATCTATACTTCTGATAAATGAATTACACCTCATAAAAGATTTTAATAAAATATTAGTTGGAAATACGCTACTAGATTTCTGATTATCAACAGGCATAACATATAGTTTGTAATAATGCTACCAATTCTGTATCTAGGCACTGCTCAACTCCAAACTGACTGGGCAGCACACTAATTATATTTGAAACTTGCCAGAAACTTGCTTCAAGAAATATAAAAACTTTTAAAATGTTTACCTTTTTAATTCATCTCTCCAGTTGTTTAACACAGAGAGAGGGCAAATGATCACAAAAGGTTTCTTTTGAAGCTTCCCACTCAAAAAAACAAGCAGACAAATAGTCTGAAATAGATTTTAAACATATTTTGAATTACATACAATAACATTCATTTTTCTTTTGACAATTAGGAAATCATACATTTCATATAGAAAGACAAAATAATACCTGGCAAGTCTTCCCCAGTCCCATTTCATCACCCAGAATACAGCCATGCCCTGTTTCATAGCAGTTTATCATCCAGTTTACACCTTCTATCTGATAGGGATACAGATGAATAGCTAAAAAATAAGAAAGGGAAACTATTGTATAGGAACTCTTAACTTACATAAATGGCTCTTTGAAATACAATTAATCTAAAGAATTAGACGTTAAACTTTGATTATACAAAAGCAGTTATCGTCATTTTCTTAGAACTTATTTCAACCAAGCTATTTTCACTGCCATTCTAGAAGGGGAGCAAAATACAGTGCAGCAGTTTTCTTGAACCTGGTGCCTTATTTTAATTGGCATTTCAAGATATGTGTAAACATAGAATTATCTTTTTGGAGATATTACTTTTTAATGCATATTTAATACATTTCACAATTACCCAAATTACCCAAGCATTAAGAAGTTACCACTACTATTCTCACAATTCTCAGCCAACATATCCAATGGGAGTTAATTCTAGCAAGTCTAAAGCTGGTAAATTAAATGGTTTTACTACATCACATATAACCTGTTACATTGGTTCCTGTATTCATAGGATTGCTATGAGAGCAGCTACAATTTACAAGAAGGCAGGACAAACAAGGTAATTTATGGAATAGCATAACTATTCAAGAGAACTTACTTTTTAAATCCATAGGAATGCCAGTCTAACAATATATTTGTTATTTTTTAAGATAGGGGATTTTAAAGAAGATATCTTCTTTCCTCTGAACAAGCAATATGTAAATTCTTGATTTGGAAAACTACAGAAGTATCTGAACCACTTACCGGTAATATTGAATTAACAAGGTACTTATATTTTAGCATCCACCTGGCTTTTTGAACAGGCAATGAACCAAAGTATTTTGTAGGTTAATCCCATCAAGTGATGGGATGGCTGAAACTAGTTTTTAATATACAGTACTTAATTACCATTGCTTTTATATCTTTTGCATTTGGTAGTTTTAAATAAAACATGCTCCAGTTGAATTAATTCAATTCCCTGGCTGCCTCCAATACAAACTAGTTTATCAATAGAGCCTAAGTAAGTTGATTTATGGATTTCATCTTTAGAAAAAATGGCTTGAAACTTACCCGTCAACCCCCATTGGCGTAATTGTTCCTCTATAATACTTTCGCTTCCCTCTCTGGATGTGCATTTTTTAGAAACAGTTTGAAAAAAGCAAGACATCACGCAGGCCTCAAAGCAGGCAGCCCCGATCCCTCTTCCTTCGGACAATTATGTGTTTACAAAACAGTTACCGGGAAGAAAGCAATGGGCAGGCTTATCTGGATTGGTTGGTTAGAAAGAACATTGCGTCGCAATTGGCTATTGCGGGAACCTGGGCGTGTTCTAGAAACAGCATCATTCTATAGAACAATGACGCTGCTCACACGGGCCTTTCAATGTTTTGTCTGCGTTATTGTTTTTACTCTGCGTTGCGTTTTCTTGTTGGACTGAGTCGACAGACTGTATGCCTATTTGTATACAGTATAATGTTATTGAATAATAATTTTAAAATTAACCCTATGTAGAAACAATATAATATGATTAAGATTATGGGTTTTTCCCCGAAGAGCAACGACGCGTCCTCTAGCTCAGTGTTTTTCAACCTTGGCAACTTGAAGATGTCTGGACTTCAACTCCCAGAATTCCCCAGCCAGCAGCTGGCTGGGGAATTCTGGGAGTTGAAGTCCAGACATCTTCAAGTTGCCAAGGTTGAAAAACACTGCTCTAGCTGACAGTGTTTCCCAACCTTGGCAACTTGAAGATATCCGGACTTCAACTCCCAGAATTCCCCAGCCAGCATTCGCTGGCTGGGGAATTCTGGGAGTTGAAGTCCAGACATCTTCAAGTTGCCAAGGTTGAAAAACACTGATCTAGTGCAGTGTTTCTCAACCTTGGCAACTTGAAGATGTCTGGACTTCAACTCCCAGAATTCCCCAGCCTGCTGCTGGCTGGGGAATTCTGGGAGTTGAAGTCCAG